GGGCGACGCGCCCGAGCTGGACACGGCGGGGCAGACGACGCTCCTGTTGTGGGCCCAGGGCCAGGGCGGCCTCCTGACCGCGGCCGCGGCCCCCGGGCCGCCGCGCGGGCGCCCCCACAGCCTCCACACGACCTACGAGCTCGAGCGCGGCGGCGCTAACGTTACCGGCCACACGCTCGACTACGTCCTCAAGCACTCCAACTACTACATCGCGTGGATGCTCGACGCGCTGAGGTACAGCGCGCCCTTCGTCTGGGAGTTCCCGCGCGACGAGCTCACCTTCCTCGCGCTGCTCGAGCTCGAGCAGAACCGCTGCGCCTTCGTGCTCGTGGAGCGCGGCGAGGCGACGGACGTCATCGTCAAGATCCCCGCGCGCGCTTGGTCTGAGTTCGAGGCGGGGATGCTCGGCGACGCGGTGGAGCGCGAGGACCGGCGGCTGGAGTCCCTCGAGGGCACGGCGTCGGCGACGGAGAACGACCCGGACGCGCTCGCGGCCTTCGAGAAGCTCGAGGCCATGGACCGCACGGGGAACACCGTCGGCGCGGAGACCGTCGAGTTCTTCAACCAGACCATGTCCGCGATGCGCAGCGGCGCCATGCCGCCCATCGCAGGATGGAACAACTACACGATCTACCCGCCCCACTTCTCCAAGGTGCGGCCGTTCCACCCCAACAACGCCAAGACCCTCCCCCTGGTCTTCTGGTCGCCCGGCGAATTCTGGGCCGACGTCGGCGTGAAGTGCCCGTGCGCGCGACACGGTTTTCAACACGACGTCAAGGTCTACGAGCCGCGCGCGCCGCGGGTCGCTGTGTGGAAATCAAATCTTCAACACGACTTCAATGTGCACGTAATTGAACGAAATGCGCCGGATTCCTCGGCCGTGCTTCGAGAACTCGACGAGAGCAATCGATTTGTCCAAAAATTAGCCGAATCGACTTCGATTTGACCGAGATGAAAGGTTCTGAAGTTTGGTACACAGGCGGCTCGTCAAGGACGGCTTCGGCAAGAACTTCGGCCTCTGCGCCGCGCGGCTCTACTGCCCGACGTGCGGCCAGGAGCGCGAGACGGCGAAGGCCGCGCTCGTCACGGCGCGCGGCCAGGGCGCGACGGACGCCGAGCTGGAAGCGCTCGAGAAGACGGTCGCGTCGGCGACCTGCTGGTCGAGCACGATCGACCCGTCCGTGATGAGCTTCATGGTGCAGCGG